TGATTGCTTTCAAAGTCGTTGATGTCTAAGTCAAATTGCTTAGAATCTTGCAATAATCTAGTAATCTCTTTAGTGGGTAAAAGCCGACTAGTATAAACTGCTCCTTGATGGATTTGGTATTTGGGGAATTTTATGCTATTAGGTAAGATTTTATTGTATTCTTCGGTTGCTTGGAGTTGGTTTTTAAAATCTGTGTCTCCTTGCTTTCAACACCTCAAAGTCCTTTCTAGCTCATTAGCATTTGGTCTTTGCAAAGGATCAGCATCCCAGCATTGTTTAATTAGACCTTCTAAGAGTGGAGGTATTTTAATTTGGAACTGAGGACGAAGACCTTCACAGATTTTTAAGGTCAAACCAATGCTATGAGCTCTTTCATAATAAGGCGGTAATCCTGACAGCATTTCACAAGCAATAATGCCAAAAGAATAAATATCTGATGCTTGGGTATAGGGTCGGCTTTGCAAAACTTCTGGCGCTACATAGGGCATTACTCCGTAAATCTTTTCTTGTTTAGTTTCGTCAACTGGTTGACAGAGACCTAAATCAGCAATTAAACAAGCAATTTTCTCCATGCCTTTTAAGATATTACCCGAATGAAAGTCTCGGTGAACTAATTTTTTAGCATGAATATCTTTGAGTCCTTGGGCAACATGGAGTAATTGACCAAGCTTGTCTTGCAAGGTTAATTCTTTATTACTTTTGCTTAAATAATCTCTTAAATTACCTTCAGGCATATATTGCATGACCATCAAATAATTACCGGTTTGGGGATCTTGGGAAAGACCATAGCAAGGAACAATATTATTGAACCAATCATCAATGAGTTTATGCTTTTCGGTTTCTTGGAGGAAATCGGTGTTGGCTTGGGAGTTATTGAGGCTTTTGAGAACTACTTCTCGGTAGTTTTTGGATTTTTTTATTTTATTGCTATAACCTAATTCATCCTTTTCATCTTTGTAATAATGGTTTTTCTCTCGATACCATTGCTTACTTTTAGCATCCCAATGGTGAATATTACCAGCAGTTCATTGGGCTTTATAAACTTTACCAAAACCTCCTTGGGCTAAGTATTCAATCTTAGTAAATTGTTCGTAAGGAATTCATTCGATAAATTTATCGGCATCTGTGGCTTTCAGTTGATATTCTTTAATAAATTCATCAACTTTGGGATTATTGCTAGTTCATTTGTCAAATTCATTCTGTAGACGGGAGCTATTACAAGTTTGGCATCATTGGTCTCCGGTGTTGGGTTGTTTACATTCTGGACATAAGCTATATTTTTTGAATCTATTGCTTAATTCTTGGTAGTCTTCTTGGTAGTTGGTGATTCATTCTGGTCTTTCTTTTTTAATATCTCTGAGCCAAATAATAAATTTATAATTATCTACTGTGGCTCCAGCAGCTATTCATTGCTTGATTTCTTCTTCCGAGAAGTTAAGTTTTCTTCATTGTTTATAGTTTTGAAGTTTTTGGGGAAATTTTTTGATTCTTCCATATTTTTCTGTTTCTACTTTTCCCTGCTCATTAGCAAACAAATTATAGATAGTTTGGCATCTAGCATCCTCTCTTAAACCTGCTGAACAATAAAAATTCTTTAAACTATCCGGTAAATATTCTAGACCACTATCGATATCGGTGTTGCTAATATCTAATCAGTTTAATTTAGTTAAGTTTTGTAAAGGTTTTAAAGAACCAGTAAAATTATTATAAATACCTTGGTTGATTTTTTCTCTATCTCAATTACCAATAACTAATGCCTCTAAATTAACCAAATGACTAAACATAGATAAGTCTCTTGGGGAAAGATTATTATTGCTGAGGCTTAAATAAGTCAATTGTTCAGCTGAGGAAGGAAGCTTTAAATCTGTTAATTTATTATCATAACAATGAAGTATCTTTAATTGTCGACAATTAGTTATATTTAAGGTAGTTAATCCATTATGATGACAATCTAATACCTCTAAATTAACAAAATCACTTAAATCTAATTTGCCAGTGAGGTTTTTGCCATCAACATTTAATCTTTTGACAGTGTTTCTTTGGTTTTTAGGATATTTTCAATCTAAATATTCTTGGGCAGGTTTGGTTTTTTGTAGTCAGGTATTAAATTCTTCTTTCAATTGGTTTAAGTTTAAAGCCTGATTGGGTTGATGGTTTTTTAGTCTTAAATAAGCCACAAATTGAGCATCATAAACAGTTAAGCCAGCATTTATCCAATCTCTAACTTCTTCATAACTAAATCCTTTACTTTCTCATTCTCTTTGTAATTCTTCACTAAAACCTTTTCAATTAAACATAATACCATTTTTATCAATTTATTGCCTGATATATCACAAAAAATTGCGACAACAATTAATCGCGGTCCACAAAAGAATTAGCCAGAAAATCAAAACCCTACCCAATAACCACGGAGAATATAAACGCAAAACTCACTATGGCTTATTTTTACTTTGCCACCAAGCAGGTTAAATGAGATAAAGAAAAACAGTTTGCTTACGATATCGAAATTAATCCTCACAATAAACGCTATGGTAGGTAAAAAATACTTAAGATAAAGACTTACACCCTATCCATCCTGGCGAAATCTTGCGGGAGGAATTGTTAAAAACTTATCAAATTACTCCGCAGCAATTAGCTCAAAGTATTAAAGTTAAGGACAATATTATTGAAGAGTTAGTAAAAGAGCAAAGAGATATTACTCCCGAACTTTCTTACCGTTTAGGTTGTTATTGAGGAGTAAGAGAAGATTATTGGTTAGATTTGCAAAAACATTATGAACTAGAATGCTGAAAGGACCAAAAAGAATTAGCCAGAATTCAAAGACAAATTAAACCTTATCCAAGAAAAGAAACAGCAAATAGTTATTTAAATCTTTAATAATTAGATCAAAGAAAATAAAGAAGATCATTATTAAATCCATTCAAGAAGAAGCGAGAATCGTAATTGGCAGAATAATTAAAAAAGAAAGAAGAAAAGCCCGCTTAGAGAAAAAGAGATTAAAAAAAGAGTTAGGCAAGCAAAAAGACCTTGTTTTGCGTTTTGATACTATGTAAGTATAAAAAGCTGGCGACCGAAAGAAGCGACCAAGGCGAGCAGGAAGCAAGAGGAGAAGCTAAAACTTACTCTTTCATTTGCCGCTTAACGGGTCTTTGATTCATTCGTCCTCCTCGGCGAAAGAAAAAACTAAAAGAGTATTAGTTTCCACCAGCAATAAACGACGATAAAAAGTTATTTGTTCACCTTGGACGCATTTGTAAAAGGCTTCTCAGGTATTTAAGCGATATTTAGCAGGGCGAAAGGAAATTCAGTGATTGGTTAAATTATCAATTTGAAACCAAGTGCCAGTGATTTCACCATTGCGTTCAGTAGCACCTTTGGTGGTGAGTTCCCGGACAAGTTTGTCCTTTTGGAGGAAGCACATATTCGCGGCGGTGTCGTAAATAAAAGTAGTATCTTGGATAGCCATAATTAATTATTACCTCCTTTCAAAGGACACTCTTGATGCTCCACCGCTTTTAATCAGAAGTTTAAGCTATAAGCCGTTAAATTTCGGTCTAATCGCTCGGCAAAGAATTCGTTTTTGTCAACCTCATTAGCGTAATCACTGACTCACAAAGTATAGTTCTTTTCAGTGACATCTTTTTCACTGATGAACTGTTGGCATTGCGGACACTGAAAATCTTTTAAATATTGGTCTTTGGTGAAAGTGCCGTCAAATTTTAACAATTCTGCTCCCATTTTAGCAATTACCTCCTTTCAATGGTTCGCTCTCTGGGGCTGAATAATTAACCCGACAATTATCACACCAATCCTCACCAAAGCAACCGATACTTTGGCGATATTCACACTCCAAGAGGATTTTTCCTTGCCTACGGGCTTGGAAACGGGCGAATTTGCGTTCTTGGTGTTGGATTTGGCTTTGGATATTGCTTAATTTATCCCGTAAATACTGGGCTTGACTTACCACTTTTTCTAAAATTAGTTGCGTAAAGGCTTCGCTACCAGCTTCAAATTTTAGGGCAAATTCGGTTTTATTGCGAATTGAGTATTCTCACGCTCAATTATCGGGTTGTTTTTGGTTTTTTTTGTTCTCTACCGCTTCATTTAATAATTGTTTGCTAAATTTCTCCGTGGCTACTAAACAATTCGCTAAATTATTCGCTTTTTTGGCTTTTGCCGCCCAAGTTTTTAATTGCTTGCTGATTTGCTGCTCTTGGTTTTGTAGCTTGGCAAGCTGGATTTCCAATTGGGTTTTTTGGTTTTTATTTTTTCGGGATTGAAGTCCCTGATTATCGATTACTATATTTTTCATATGAAATCCAAAATTTCCTCCAGGAAATTTGCCCCGTAGGGTGCCATTCCTCCAATTGTCTTGGGGGAATTGGAAAAAATTCTGAACTCGCTTTGGAATTTTTTTCACTTTGGGCGGCTTGCCGAACAAAGGGCAGGGGTTAAGTCAAAAATTTCTTATTAAAAATTTAGTAAACTTGAAAGATAATCAGGGGGTTCTCCCAAAAAATAAACCAAAATCAAGGGTTAATTACCCGTAGGGATTAATTGGGGTCTCGAGGAAACTGGCACACAGGACAGTTTGGGCGAGGTAAATGTTCGCAAATACTATTAAAAATCCTTATTATGTTAGGAATTATCCAAATCACCCAAGAGGTCAATAAAAAAAGTAAAATCAATAGCAAGGAAACCACCAAAAAAGTCTTAAATGCTTTCTTAGAAGTAGCCAAACAAAAACTTCTCCAAGGCGAAAGCATTAACTTTAAAGGTTATTTCACTATCAAAAGAAGCACAACCAAGCAAAAAGGTAGTAAACATTGCGGCAAGCATGATAAATCTTTAAATGATTTTAAGCAAGCCAATAAAGGCAAAGGAATTACTGTTTTTGCTAAATCAGAAAAGTTTAAGGGAATAGTTAATGAGATGCGAAAATGCCGAAACTGTAAAAATAAGAAGCAACAATTAGACAAAAGTGCCAAGCCCACTAACCGAATTAATTTCAAGCCCAGCAAAGACTTCTGAAAGCCTGCCAAAATCGGCAAAAAAAATAAATAATTTTCTAATTTTAACCTTTTTGGTAGCGCAGCGAAAAAAGCAAACAGGGGTTCGTAAAAATTGCTCACGAAAACAGAGATGACGGATAATCCAATAAAACAAAATATTCCGTCCGTAAGCGTTAATTATTACGTGATAATTCCAGCACAAGCAACAGGAGATTTATTAACTCCACCAGGGAAAATTACCTGCTAAGGACTAATTGGGATATCGGGGAAACTGACACAGACAGTTTGGGCGATGGAGTCTAGCCTTTTTCTGGTGTCCTGACTTACCCCATAAATTTAAAATAAGTTTATTATGGATGTTTGAAAGTATATCAGCAGAGAAAGTAAAGAATTAATCAAAAAGAGAAAAAATGAAGATGAAAGAGAAATATTGCTCAGGTATTTTTTTTAAAAGAACGCTTTAAAATTGATATTCTTTCGCCAATAGTGGAGTATTTTTTGCCTTCGTCTCTTGCTTCTGAGAAATATGACTTTTTGCATGAAAGACCAGACATCTTAATCGACTACTTTTCTGGAGAAACCAACTTAGATAAATACAGAGTAGGAATAGAGCTTTCTGAATTTTTTGGCTGCGGAAAGATTGGCAAAGACGGAGAAAATGGAGCAAAAGAAAGGTTCACAATAGCAAAAATAGAAAAAAGTTTTGAGAAAGAAGAATTAGTAAGCAAAAACAAGAAGAAAAAAGAAAATGTGTTTGAAATCACGGGCAAAGAAAAAATCGATGAAGATACTGATAGTATTAGTTACGAAATGAACATAAAGGGAATTCCGACCGACAATTTACTCACCGACATGGAAATCGATTAATAATAAAAACAAAGAAGTTCAATCTTACCTCAATAATTCAAAAAAGGTCGCTCTCCTTCTTTGAACAAAAACAGGAATCATCCTCGATGAATTTGGTAAGTGAGAAAATAATTGTTTTATCCCTCCTAAGAACACCAATTTATCTAACAAAATGATTTTTACTTACAACCTTCTCAAAAAGTTACTTTTAAAATTAGATAAAATAAAAATTAATTTTGATTATCTGGTTTTGTTTTTTGACTTTATCCAAATCGAGAAAGAAAAGAAAAACATTGAAAAAGCAATCAGCAAAATTTCTTACAGCAATAACGAATGCAAATTATTTATTCTTGACAATTTTCTACAACAGCAAGCAAGGGAAGAATCTCTGTCGTCAATACAAAAAAATCCAATTTTTTCTTTATTGTTTCAACCACGAAATAACAATTACACGTTTTTATTATATTTAGTCCCAAGCAAGGCAAAGGATTTTCTCATCGAAACAACAAAACAAATTAAAGACTGGTTTTTTAAAGAATATAGATCAGAAATAGATCATTATACTTACGAAGAAAAAACTTTTACTAAAGGAATGAGTTTTAGGATATTAGAACAAAGATAAAAGATTGCCAAAATTCATTCTAATTAAGTAATTACTTCCTAAAATATAATCATGTCTCGTCTCGTCATGCCTTTCACCAAAATAGTAATTACTGGAAACAAAGGAGGAACTGGAAAAAC